AAAAAATCTTTAAAAAAATATAAACAGATCATTGGTTTAAACACAAGAAACTTAAGAAAATGACAGTGGGCATGATGGCAATGATCAGACTCAACAGGTAATTTATATTATACAATAGCTACTAGCAAAACTACTAGCCTAGAAAAACTGGACATCTACAAACAAAAAAATGAATCTAGACACGGACCTAAAACACTTCACGAAAATTAAGTCAAAATGAATCACAGACCTAAATGTAAAAACACAAAACTATAATGCTCCTAGCAGATAACAGAGGAGAAAATCTAGATGACCTTGAGTGTGGTGATGACTTTTTAGATAAACACCAAAGACACAACCCATGAAAGAAATAAATGATATGCTGGACTTCACTAAAATTAAAAAGTTCTGCTCTGCAAAAAAACATTATCAAGAGAATGAAAACAGAAGCCACAGACTAGAAGAAAATCTTTGTAAAACACGTATCTGGTAAAAGACTGTTATTCAAAATATACAAAGAACTCTTAAAACTGAACAATAAGAAAACAAACAACTTGATTGAAAAATGGGCCAAAGACCTTAGCACATGTATGAACAAAGAAGATACACAGATGGGAAATAGGCAATGAAAAGAGGCTCCATATCATACCATATAAATGAGGGAAATGCAAATGAAAACACGGAGATACCACCACACACCTGTCAGACTGGCCAAAATCTGGAACACCGATAACACCAAATGCTGGTGAGGATGTGGAGCAACAGGAACTCTCATCCATTGCTGGTGGGAATGCAAACTGGTGCAGCCACTTAGGAAGACAGTTTGGTGGTTTCTTACAAAACTAAACGTACTCTTACCATATATCCAACAGTCACATTCCTTGGTATTTACCCAAAGGAGTTGCAAACTTATAGCCACACAAAAACCTCAACACGGATGTTTATAGCAGCTTTATTCTTAATTGCCACACTTTGAAGCAACCAAGATGCCCTTCAGTAGGTGAATGGATACATAAACTGTGCTACATCCAACAATGGAATATTATCAGCACGAAAAAGAAATGAATAATCAAGCAATGAAAAGACATGGAGGAACCTTAAAATGCATATTCCTAAGTGAAAGAAGCAAAAAGGCTACATACTATATGATTCCAACTACATGACATTCTGGAAAAGATAAAACTGTGGACACAGTTAAAGAATCAGTGGTTGCCAGGGGTTAGGGAGGACTGAGGGGTGAATAGGCAGAGCACAAAGAATTCTTAGGGCAGTGAAACTACTCTGTGTGACACTATAATGGTGGATACATGACACCAAAACGCACAGACTGTACAACAGAAGAATGACCCCTAAAGTAAACCATGGACTTTAGTTAATAATATATGAATACTGGCTCATCAGTTGTAACAAACGAACCATTCTGGTGGGAATGTTGATAACAGGGGAAGGTGTGCATGTTTGGGGGCAGGGTTTATATGGGAGATGCCTGTACCTTCTGCTCAATTTTGCTATGAATCTAAAACTGTTCTAAAAAATAAAGTCTATTAAAAATTGTCTTAAAAAAAAAACACTAGCAACTGATTCCCAACAGAAATCAACCTCACTTACAAGAAAATAAGAGATAAAAATATGCTGAAAACATTCAGTCATTTACAGAGGAAAGAATAATTTTTTTTTTTGTCAGTGAGGTTTAGCTCTTTTTTATGATGAGAAGCTGCCCGAGGTTTTAATGTTTCACACGGAAAAATGTGCAAAAGAGTTCTGGAGTCCCTGTCAAATCAATGTCATTTACAACAAAACAGACTAAAAATATAAAACAAAGCTGTGGTTCTTTCAGAATACATTTAACTAAATAGTACTGGAGATCAGTATGTAAATAATTTACATACTGAAAACAAAAATGAATTTATTGCATCATATAAAGGAAGTCACAGCGTGTGTGAAGGAGGTTAGCAGAGCACACTTTATTACACCCTGCGCTACTGACCTGGCAAGAAATGTGTTAGATGAGCCTGCTGCTGCTGAAAAAAATAATATCACTACCTGGTAATATAGTGCAGTGAATAATCTAGAAACACTCACTTAGCATGTGTTTTTTTACTTAGTTTGAAGGATAGTGTTGTGTGAACTCTTAGCAATTCAATATGGAAGCTGCAGATCTGTCAATTTTGCTTATTTTTATATATGTTGATATGGGTAAATGCTAGGAAGGTGTAGATATATTCATTTGTAAAATATCTGATACACATACAACGTAAGAAGTATGTTCAGATCAAGGCTTTTGGTCATGTAAATGACTTTTATACTATGTAAGTATAAATATTACAAGTAATATATAAATTATGAAGCATATTCATCAGGTAGCTGAAACCCCAGCCAGCTTTGGAACCAGATGGCCAAGGCCACAGCATGTCCAAGCAATATGCCCCTCCCCACCTTTCTGCATCCCAAAAGATGGCAGCTCTCCTGAACTGTGTGTTCACAGTCCCTTTTTTAATTTAACAAATAGTTTCATCACATTTATGGGTATCCCCTAAACAATATACTCTTTACTGGTTTCTTAGCTTAATACAGTCTTTGCTGTATGGATTCGGGGGAGTTGCTTTTTAAATTCAATTAGTTTCCTAGGATTTGCTCATTCACTTTTACTGCTGTGTAATACTCAATTACGAATATAACACAACTTATCTGCTCTGTTAATGGACAATGGAAATCTCTAGGTCCTGAGAATGGGTAGGGCAGTTAGAGGACAGACAGTAGTTTAGAAGGGAAGTAGACCAAATCTTCAAAAGGGGGATACCACTAAAGGAGAACTTTCTAGGTGTTTTTTTTCTCCCTCTAAATTTCCCTGGGTCAATCACAATACCCATCCCATCACTGTTGCAGGGTAGAAAAACAGAATTGGCCAGAGGCACGGAGGTCAGGCCGAGGAGCTGAGAAGACATCACTGGCGGTCAGCAGTCTCCCCTCCCTACTCCCCACACCCAAGGCTGATGACAGTGAAGACCGCCAAGGGCAGAAGAAAAGAAAGAATCAATCCCCCACAGGCCAAGTTACTTGGTTAGGAAGATGGAGCATTTGTCCAATGGCCATGCCCTACCTTAGAACACCAGCGCTATTCTCCCTACCCCTCCAAACCAAGAGGGACTTAAATTACTCCCACCTCCACATACATTACTGGCCAAAGTAACTAATGCCCTTCAGAGAATATGAGCTGACAGGGAAAATAAATGATAATTTCATGAACTCAACTGTAATAAAATAAAGACAATAAACTCTATCAGATGAAACAAAATTAAATACTAAAGAGAAGATTATACAGTAAGCATTTAAAATACCTCAAAGAGAAAAGATAGGGTATTGGTGATATGAAGAAGAAACAAGTAGATATCGAAGAACCAACCAAAACTAGTAGGTATAAATAATGTTAATGGTTGAAATAAACAACTCGTGGATAGCCATCTAATTGCCAAAAGACAAATTACCAAAGTCAACAGGAAAGGGGAAATAATAAAAAGAAACAGAGGGCAAAACTGAAGTGTAAACATCCATATTAACAGGAATTCCAGGAGAGAAAGAAATAAAGAATTAACAGATGATAGGAAAAAACAATAAAAGAAAAAAAATGACAACCAGAATATTTCCAGTTAAAGATAAAAGGCAGGGCCGGCCGAGTGGTGCGTTGGTTAAGAACTGGCTTGAGACGCCAGAGGGCCCCGGTTCGGATCCCACATATGAGGGCCAGTGACACTGCCCTCTGCAGCTAAGACGGTGAACGGCAGCTCGACCTGGAGCTGGGCTGCCGTGAGTCGCCGGCGATGGCGTAGGCTGCAGACCCTCTGGCAGTGGGTTGCCATGGGCTAC